GAAAGCGTGCTCGGTAAAAAATGATTACTTAAGTAGCATGCATTTTTCTCATTGATTTTCGACGGTCTTGGAAATTCAAATATATTTTATAGAAACCATAAACAAAAATAAGCTTTCGTTTAGTCAATCAATAGAGAATTACATCTTCTTTATATTTTATACTTAAGAAAGGAGTATAATTAGGTTTTAAAAAAGTTTTCTAATTGCCGAATAATTTGGAGCCTGATCATTCGTTGCATTAGCGCTTAGTGATTTCACTCTACGAGGTGCATGCGTTCCGCGTAAAGAAAATCACATATTTTTCTATGCCATTAAATAGATATCATACAGAGTCCATAACATTTTGCAATGGATGCGGACCATGTTGTACATTTCATGAGGGGGTGTGGTAAACGGCCAGGTACGATGCTGTGTGAATGGACATATCGCGGTCTTAAAAAGTCTCATAATTAGAAACTTTTTTAAAACCTAATTATACTCCTTTCTTAAGTATAAAATATAAAGAAGACGTGATCGTCTATTGATTGACTAAAAGAAAGCATACTTTTGTTTATGGTTTCTATACAATATATTTGAATTTCCAAGACCATCAAAAATAATTGTGAAAAATTCATGCTATATAAGTAGTCATTTTTTGCCGAGCACGCTTTCTACAGGAGATTTAAAAGAAATGCATTTAAAAGCCGACATCCTGCCAAATCCGAAATGTTATAAAAGTATGTGTTAAGATAATCAGTATTACAACCGCGACCAAGTAATCGTTCCTAATCGAAAACGCCTTTCAGAATTTCAGCCAACATTTCATGAGATAGGTCACTCACTAGTTTATTCATAACAGAGGGCAATTCTTCAGCTTCCTTAATGTCTTCAACATTAGCGAAAGCATCACGAATCTTCTGTAGAGTGGTCGCATGTTCAATTTCGCGGACACTTTTTCTTCTAGATGACCCATAAAGATGCCAGCAAAGGCAGGGCCGAGAGGACTTCCCATTGTCACTCCGTCAATTTGTCTCTATAATTGGCTGTCAAAAAGAAACCAAACGTTCTTTGTGCATAATTTTAAAGTGTCGCCTAGTGTTTCAGGAGGCAGACAAGTTTCAGACGCATGGATGCATATGATGTCTGTTGTTTCATCCGGTAATACGTCAGTGAAAAGTGATTCTACCTCCAAGGATATCATGTACTTGCCCGAAATGTTTTGATTTCTGAGTCTTTAAGTGAAATGAAAGCTGTCGTTTGGCGTGTAGGTCGAAAATCGACGTCGGATTGGCCTTAATTCCTTGACTAACCACTGTGGTAGTTTGTGAAGAGGTGAATTATACGTTGACAAAATTGGTCTTAGGGGTATATCCTTTTTATGCAGTCCTATCAAGCCTCTTCCAATGCTTGAGGATGCAAGTACATTGGGCGAACGTAAAGGCAGTTGGCAGCCAGGTCTATTGAGCGCCTGCCCAGATGGCTTCTAAAACAAGAAAATAAAATCCCGCGTTCCTCCATTACAAAACACATGCTTGATAGTGGCCACTCCCTCCACCCTAAAACTTCCTTTCTAGTACTTGTTCGGGCACGAACAACTCGGACATTGCGTTACCTGGAGGCGGCCTATTTACGGCGGATAAAACCTGATCATTGTAAACAGTTAGAAGATGTAGTTAGCCTAACCTTGTCATGGTAGCCTTTGGCTCCATGATTTTCACTTCCCTTTCTTTGTGCTCGTTAACGCTTTTTTTCCACTATTCTTCCTATACTGTGCCTGAGTTACTAATTTTGTCGATCACTCGGCTCTACGCAAACCCTCGATCTTGTTGTTTCCGCATTGAATTTCTTCACGAATTCAACTCTGTTGTATTCTTTACACTCGTTATCTATGCTGTGAAGCGACAGGGCGCAGCTGACGAGCCGTCGCGAAATTTTTTGGTATAATTAAATCCTGTCCTGCTTGCCTGATTCAGCGAAGTAAATATGTTTTTAGTTCCCGGTCTCTTAGAATTCACAATTCCGTCCATGTCAACCCTCCCTTACTTATATCTTGAATGCGGATTACAATTTCTACTACCATCCTGACTCCCGCTGGGTTGTTCTCTCGAAGTCGCATACTGGACATGATCAGCAATCGATCAGTGTCATATCATCGTGAAAATAGGTGCCGGCTGCTCTACTGACTTTGATCATTCCCTCACAAACTTGACACCGTTCAGGCTCTGAGGTTTCACTCCCAACACTCCATGCGCTTAGACAGGACAACTTGGAATATTGTCCCTTTATTGTCAATCATTGCAGAGTGCGACAATACTTGACCACATCCCTTCGTAAGGATTCCTTGGGTTATTCCACATAGAGGGGAAGACCCCAACGCCAAGAAAGTCCTTAGGCAATAGGTATCCATCATAGCCGAGCGAAGATGTGCGTAAAAGAACTAATAATATAAACCAAATCAGAATATTAAGTAGTAGATTAGGCTGCCTAAACTTTAGATTAACAGGGGGTGACTGTTTTGATTGAAATTCAGGCATGGTATGCAATTCAAAACAACATACTTCGAGAAAGGTAATTTTGATTATTATGGTGTTGAACTCTAAGGATAAAAAAATCATCCAAAACTGCCCCAGGATCCTACTACAGGTGAAATCTGTCAGGCTGATGAAACAGGAACGATTGTCGTGCCATCTCGGAGATCTCTATGAGCCACAAACTTTTAACACTATGGGGCTCAAAAAACCCTTGATTGCATAATTATTCTCTACTTCTCAAACATTTATAAAGTATGGACGAAGAATGCCTGTTACTGGTCATAGTCCATATGCCTCGATGTCTCAAACGGCTTGGAATGAATGGCTTTAAAATTTCCAACTATTTAGGCTGCGACCACCTTGTGGAGCAGTAGGATACCTAAGCTTCCACAACGGTGGAACTGTCTTGTCAGTAAAAACGTGAGGAGGACTTATTGTATTTTTAAGAATTGCATACGGAATTAGGACTTGGAACTGCATTAAATGCAGGATAGATTTTTCGGTCAATCGACTCGTTACTATTACTGCATTACCTTGTAATTTTTGTGTAAATCCTCGCTTCATTATTTCGGAATATAAACTTGCTATATCCACATAGAATGTGTTGTTCATCCCCGCTAAACTTACTTCAAAACCATTCGTTTACAAGTTCTTCCTCCAAATATCAAATCCTTCACAAACAAGAGATTAATAAAACGCTCTGAGCATATTGTGTCTTGGGAATTTAGTAAATTTCAGCCATGAAATAAGTGAATGGGAATTGTTTATATCCACATTAGTGCCCAAAGAGATAATTAAAAAGAATGCTGTCCTACGAGGTATGCGGCTTGTTGCCAACACTTGGGAAAAAATAAGCAACAAAACAAATCTCAGTTTTCTTAATCGTATTATTTTGGGGACTCCGAATTTCGTAGGCCATATACAACTGCTGAAACTGCAAAGTATCGGAAATTACGAAAACTCGTCGTGCACCGATGAAAGTTTTCCGTGTCACTATGCGCGTTCAGATTGTGAAAACTGAAACATTTTAAAAAATTATAGCAACTGACCCGGAGGCATCAATAGATAAGGAAGGCAATGGCGACTACATGTCTAAAAATTGCAGTTGACTGACCGCGGTTCCAGTGAATGTTGATCGATTAGGTGAGTCCCGATAATTTCTTTTATCAAAGAACTCTCATCCTATTCTGGTGCATGTGGTTTGGATTGATGGCAAATCCCGTTCATAGCTAATGTTGGCAGTTAGTCGTATGTTCTACTTCCCTTTGATATAAGTGGATTCTTTCTGCCATCTGGTTCGCCGATAAAATTTAATGGATCAAAATAAATAAGTTTGTTCATCCGACATTTCGACTGTCGTGTCCGACTATGTCTACCGTGTGTTCCACAGCAAGGTGAGGCAGGCACGACAATGGAGGCAGATGTGGCGAATGTAGGTTGGTACACCAGGCACTGGTTCATTAGTCTCTGTGCAATGGATTCGCAAGTGACCGACCAGGCCGATGTGCGAGGTAAATGTGCGATCGTAATGAGGACAGGTGTGAACTGAGTCCACGTTGCTGGAGCTGTGGATGTTGATGATGTATTAAGTTGATGGATGCAAGGTGGGGAGAGTGCGTGAGGTCGTTTTGGTGGTAGTGGTGGGGGGCGACGGTAGTGCTGGTCGCTGCGGTCGACGCAGCGGTTGAGGCAGAGGGAGTGATGTCGGTGGATGATAGGGACTGGGATACGACATTGTGAACGGCGGTGACGGGAGTGGCGGTCGGCACAGAGTGGGCGAGAGTGGGAGAAGAAGTAGACGTTGTCGAGTTGATGGCGTATTGGGTCCGAAGATGTCCAATAAGACCAGTGAGTGTCCAGAACGTCCGCTGACATTTCGGGCAGATCAGGAACGGTTATGCATTGGCAATTCAAGGTTTGGGCAGTTGAGATTTGCGAGCTTTGCGTTTAGCTTTGGCGACGGTTAAGCAGTTGGCCACGTAGATCGCTGCATCTGTCTTCGCTGTTTTCCTCCAGGTCGGTCGGTCCTGGGCGAGGTCGTCCTAGCTCAGCAGATTGATCTGCAGGCATTTCATGGAGGTTTTCGGAGTATCCTTGTATCGCTAGACTTGACCCCCTTGTCGGCGGGAACCCGTGGTGGCATCTCCATAGATGTTAGCTGCTCTTCGTTCACCCTCACGAGTTAGCCGTTCTAACGCCGTTGCAGTTGTCTCAGCATGGCGTGAATGCTGAGGATTACTGTCCGTTCCAGTACGTCCGTGTCCGGAATCCGGTCCTGGCACTCCAGCTTTGATATCCGCCAAAGACAGGTGGGGTGGAAGTGGTTGGACCTCCGCGCCTGCTTCTTATACACCGTCCAGGTCTCCCCTCTGTATAGTAGCGTCGGCAGGATCACTACTTTATACATCTTAAGTTTGGTGCTGAGGTGGAGACCATGACTATTCCTGACGGTGTTCTGCAGACGACGGAAGGCTTTGATGGCCTTGGAAATCATCGGGCAACTTTAGCGTCAGTTCTGATGCTGAGAGGAGAAGTGCTGCCCAGATAGGTGACGTTGTCCATGGCTTGGAATTGGGCGTCATTTATATTGATTTGAGGTGCAATTCGGGCAGCATTGGGTGGCGGCCGTTTCATAACCACCGTCTCCTCCGTGTTGATAATCAGCCAGAAGTTGTCGCGGGCGGCGGCAAAGAGAAGCAATTGTGGATACCCGCGACTGGAAGTGCATCCGCCTGTGGTTGAGGAGTTTGCCGTCCGTCCTGTAGGCGACGCGGATCCTGGGGCCTTTATCACGGTCGGCATCCATTAGCATGACACAGAACCGAAGACTGAAGAGTGTAAGCGCGAGGATGCAGCCCTGCTTCACTCCGTTGGTCACTGCGAATGCCTTTGAGACGGTTCCATTGTCCGTGACGCATGCAGTCGTGGAGCTAACGCACCATCTGAGGGAATCACTTGAGACAGCCGAATTTCTGCACCATTTTCCACAATCCTTCGCGATTCATCGGGTCTAATGTTTTCGTTGGATCCCCAAAGGTAGAGTAGAGATGGATCCGCATCTCGTGGAATTTCCCTCGCAGCTGGCAGACTGTAAAGATTATGTCGATGGTGCCGAGACGACGGCCGTACTGGCTTTCCGCCATGCGTCCCTGTTCCACATGGCTGTTGAGGCGAACGCGAACGAAGATTTTTCCGGAAATGTTGGGCGGCGAGACGCCTCTGCGGTTTTCGCAGAGTTGGCAGTTCTCCTTTCGCTTGTAGAGGTGGACGATTGTGGTGTTCTTGAAATCCTTAGAGACTTGTCCGCGACGCCGCATCTTCTGGAAGAGCGCCGTCAGCTGATTCATAAGTTTGGGGACCGCCGTGCTTGTAGATCTCTGCCGGGATTGCGTCCGATCGGGGCGCTTTACTGCTGCAGGGTCTCGGCGAGTTCGTGGAGGTGGGGCGGAAAGTCGAGATCGGCGTCAGTCGCCACCTGAGTCAGACGGGCGATGGCGGTGTCGGAGATGGTGGAGGAACGGTTGAGGACGCCTCTGAAGTGCTAGTTTCATCGCTTCAGCATTTGCATCCACTCAGCGAGTTGGGTAGTTCTCTCGGCGCTTAGAAGAGGAACGAGTTCAAGCAGGTAGGAGCAGGAATCACATGAATAAATGATGTGGAACTGCTCCTGGTTTCGAGAGCAAGGCATATCTTAAAAGCACAAATAAATGAAATTGTCTATTTTAATTAAATGCAAATGTGTGTGTGTTACTTTGTTTCACCACAGTCATCGTTATTACTGTTCTTTCCACGTGGTGACGTCATGAGTAAGTAAAGCATCACCACCAAACGTCGCTATGGTACCCGTAGCACACTGAATAGCCAGATTCAGTTCGTAAGTAAACTGCTTCTTTTAATTGCAAGTTGAGTGAAAAAAATAATTCCGATGTATGCTGAACGTAGTAGACCTGGGTATCTAAGATGAGTAGGCCTCTTCACATGACGGAGTTTGAATACCCTTTTCCTAGAAACGGCCGTCTGTCAAGCTTCAATTCTATGTGTCTACTCTATTTTTCAGCAACCAATTTTTATTTCGAAGTTCATATGGGATGGTGGAGGAGAAGGAGGGGGGGGGCAAAAGGAGGAAGAGGAGTCGGGGGGCAGGAGTTACCGATTAATTACTGTTTCTGCAGGAAATCGGAACCTACCCTGAGAAAATGGCCATTTTTGTAAAACTCCTACATACGACCGAGATAATAATCTGGGAGCAAAATGCTGCGGTTTCGAGGTCCCATACACAAACATCATATACACTAACTAGTCGGTAGCGCTTCCCAAATGGGTGAACAGATGGTCAGACATATGGCCCTTGTGTGTGCGCGCGCTCGCGCGTCCGTAAGTTTCCCACTTTGACTAACCAACCTTACAACTATGCATGTTTGCCACAAAGGCCTCAAACTCCAACACACATGTCTCCAGCCTGTCACCATCTTCCTCTCCTTCTCCCCCTACCCCCCGTATCCGCGCCCGAAACCAACTTCTGTTTACTAGTTGTGCATCCTGACACAAGTGTCGGAGGCTCTCCCTTGTGGTCGACTGTCGGCACATCGGCCCGCCCTCTCCTCCTCCTTCGCCGACCTCCCTGCCACCCGTTTGGAACCGACAGAATCTCAACCTGCATCTCCTTTACTGTCGTTAGGATGTTTATGATGCCTTCTTAGCTCAACACAACTTGTGCAATGAGACTCCTTCAAGCCTCTAAAAATTGTGCACAGATCCCAGCTATCATCAACTGCATGCTGAGGATATAAGAATTCATGACATTTAGTTAAAAGAGTTTTGGACGGTTTATGCCAGTTACCTCCGAGAAGCTCTTCTGAATGACATTTTCTCACTTCCATAGTTCCGTCGTGATAAGACGGGAGTGACGGTATACGGCGTATCTTCAGCAATGCCAAGACCAACATGTCATGCTAGGCCAGTAATTGAAACGAACTTCGAAGTATTGTAAATAAATTCTTAAAAGGGATACCTTAATATTGAGGAACAGTCTGTACCGGTCACTTAAGTCAACAGACACTTTAATGGATTCGAGTTATTCGAAAGATAAGTAAGACGTGATTAACCGAGGAGTTCGAATACCAGTATTCCCAGTAAGGTTTGTGTTAGTATTCAAAACCTGACTGAAATCAGATTCATGAAATGAGCGATCTAAGACATAACCAAAAAGGGCTTACAAGATTGCATGATGTTTAGCAGTCATCATGATGTTCTCTGGGGATTAGATATAAAGTGGTAAAAGTTAAAGATATCTTCTGTAAGGCGCAAATCAACACTGCGAAGAGTAGGTTCCAGCAAGACGGGAAAACTGCTCTTGTGACGACAAGATATCACTAGTGCAAAAGCAGCCCGTAAAAGTGGACAAACTAACTACCATAGTGAAAAAACTGTCCTCTGGAAAGAATTATTTGATTACACAAGCCTTCGGCCGGATCACGGCATCTCCCTGCTTGTTTATCTTGATTTTCTGTAGGTGCATGGTTTCGGTCCAGACTGCTTCTGCCCACCACAGTAAAACCAACATTTGGAGGAAACTTCCCTCTAATTGTAACTTTATTGGGATATTCTGTGCAAAATTTGTCCGAAAAGGCTGAACGCTCGACGCGATTATTTCCAGAACCAAAACCCCCTCCTCCCTCCCCAGCTGCATGAGCTGTTCGAACCGTACAGGAGTGCCGGCATTGGACACGAACCGTAAAACAGTTAACTTCCCTTAAGTTAATATTCGAGTCTTTAAAAGTACCAAATGTTTTTGCTTATACTATACAATGTCTTTAGGATGCTGAAAACAGATAAAAATAGTGTTTAATGTTTGTCGGGCCTCGATGTCAAGCGATAAGTTCAGATTCCTGTTGCAGTCGGCTGAGTGTTAACTTCTCGAAGCGTACTTCTGGATTGCTTGACTTACTTTTGCCACCCGACTATTGCTCTGAGAGGTCTATTTAATCCCCATTTCTAATTCCGATCCTACCGAATAATCTAACGAATTTTAGCTAAGAACCAAAAATATTATTTGGGCAGCCAGCGGTAAATGGGAAACATACACGCTCAAAACATGTTCTACGACGCGGTGGAATCCATTACCCAGCTATTTTTCAGCCGGATGCTCTATTTCAGCCTTATTACAGTCATGTTTATCTCCTTGACGGTAATTAATCGATATTCCCCTACTTGCGACCCTTAGTGCTAGCATATTTGTGGATGAGATGTTTTTGTTGGTATCGTAAGATGTGCTGCGTGATTGAGGAAGAATGGCGATAGTATTCTCTAGTTTTTCTGCCATTCAAAATGGTCTTTAATTTCTGATAGGCGAAACATGCTCTAAGTTGTGTATAAGTCACGTTCGCCCGCCTGCCTTGGAGCTCCGGGTCCCAAGATGGGGTTGATGTGCGTACGTAACTCAAGTGGGGTTTTTTTTACCTAAAAATGCCCATGACCAACTAACTCCGTTTCACATCTCAGACGCCCGGCCCGGTCTTGGTGTCTCTCCGGCCGATGACAGAAAAGAGACAATGAAAATGTTTTTTATTGTCGCTTGCCTGTGTCGTTAATATTTCTAGACACTTCAGCTGACCCAGATGTGAAAATCGCGTCGAATTCGACTAGATCCGAATTTTACTAATGTTGGTAGTTTCCAATAGGTTGCAGCAGGTTGGATGGGTAACCGTCCAAATGTAAAATATTCAAGGTTCTAGGTCGGGGTCTGTTGGCTCAGGTGGGTGGAAATCCGCTTGTACTAAGACCATGCCTGTACTGCTGCGGATTCGTGATCCGCCGAGGTCGGCGTTTTTTCACAACCGGATCATCTGGATTGTTCGAATCTTTGAAAAAAACTGTACATACGATATTTTCATTTCGACCGACTGCTGATGGGGCTCGAGAGAGAACCTGCAAGACACAACGCAACGAGTGGGTTCCGTAAGGACCACCAGTGAGTGCCCCTCTACCATTGTATATTCCCGATCGAAACCGACAAGACAACGAGCCCGTAGCCCAGTGGTTGGAGGTGTTTGACCTCTAACTAACAGGTGGCAAGTTCGAGCCCCAGGTGTTCCGTGCCTCGGGGTTGCGTATGACTGGCTGACGACAGCTACTAAGCCGGAAATGGTCATTTGAGTTGCCCTTGTCTTTGTCGGTAAAAACGTTCCGTGCATACGATATTTTCGTTTCGTCCGACTACGGAAAACATGAAACTCTCAGTTAACATCACAACCTAGGAATGAGCGTGGGACTTTCTTCTCCATTTTCGCCAAATGAAAGAATTTGCCTGCCGATTTTTATCCTTTGGGGGAGGCGGTGAATGGTGTGTGATCTTAGGAATTTAGCGTACAGTGTGAAACAAAGAGGAAAATGAAATGTTGCGAGAAGGTTCCACTTAATTTTATTATTTCTAAATATGATTATCCTGTTTTAAGCGTGCATTTCAACGAATTTTTGCCTGACTCTCGGACTAAACGCCTGTGGAATTGCTCCATACACTGTCAAATGTCTTACCAGATATAGCATAAGAGGTAACTGGGAAAGATGAGTCGTTGGGACGAGATCCTAATTAGTACTTGTCATTTGTCATTAAAAAATTCAACCAGACTACTTTGTTGTAATAGAGCATAATTTTCATTTTGTCTGAAAGAGTGCAGTCTAAAGACATGTCGCCACATATATGACAAAATTCCTCTCGGAATAAATACTCAAAAGGAAGCAAACATTTTTTTCATATGAAAGCTCTATTAATGGTCAGACCGCTCATTAGGCTACACTAACTTCTTTTGCATAGTGGGTGAGATCATACCAACCGAAAATACCAGAATACTTAATTTTACTTCTGTTGCTCACTAGAAACTTACTCATTTCGAGCTTTAGAAAGTTGCTGTGGGAATGCTATAATTTTGCCCATAGGGGTGTTCTCAATTTAAAATAACTTAAACCTTGCTTCTAATTGCAGTGGAATGTTTCTTCTTAAGTGACAAGTGGATTCCGCTCCTTTTGAAAGCCAGAGCATCATATACGTGTTGCGAGGACTTAGATGACAATCTACACTTCTGTTGTGTAATGGTTGACGCCTGTTCATCTGGGGATGAAAGCTGACACCTAGGTAAGCCGACTGTCACCGCTTCGCAACTTTATCAGCCGTTCGGAGTCAAATGGTCTGGTAACCAACGGCGCGGTTCCCGCCTATCACGAAAATGGAGGCTGAAGTGTGAGCTACAGGAGACGACGAATGTAGTCTTAACGTCCCACTGGAAATCATTTTCTCTTCGACTTGTAATAAAGACGGAGGAATTTCGGGTGTTGTTTATTGCAGGGAGGA